GGGCTCGTCACCAGCTGGGTCAGCCCTTGAGTAAGAGCGAACGCTTCAACTGCACGACCTGCTGCATCGGTCTTATTTGAGCCCAACCAAAGCTCATTATGGGCATTGAAATCACCGAGAAGAGCTACCTCTGAAGCGGTGTGAGTGACGTTCAGGAAGTCGATCTGGACGGCGAGGTATTCGAGTAGGTCATCCCAGTTATGGTTCGAGGGAGAGCGATAAAGGCAGCAAATATATTTGGGTGATGTTTTGGAGTTGAGGCGAAGCCACAGAATGTCCTTCCGGTCTGATTCCAAAGAAAGATCCCTGGAGCAGGAAAGACTGCTGCGGACAGAAGCCACAACTCCCCCGTTCTTTCTCAGATTGGAGTGCACCTCGTAGTTTGGGAAGTTGAGATGGTCAATCGGTGCAGTCTCTGAGATTTTTGTCTCCGCCAAGAAAAGCACGGCGGGACGATTGGATTGCAGGTAGTGATGAACAGCATCAATGTTGCTGTTGATCCCGCAGATGTTCGAAAAACAAATTTTATCTTCGATGTTGTTCCCTCGAGCCCACCCTCCACCCGGACATTCCGAGAGTGGAGTGAGTTTACGTCCGGAGCTCTTAGTCCTCAAATGCTCTTTGAACGAACTTTGTTCAATAAACTAGTAGTGATGGCAGATATTTTGGGATAGACAATTAGACATTCTCAAAAAACTACTTGACCAATCTACTCCATTTTGTTCTAGTTATTTAGAAGTACGAATTTGAAGAGTTTCGAACAAGTGCCAAAACCTGCATGTTGCCTCGTTTTGCGGCCATAACATTTTTGCGATTGGTGGATCTTTTTACGTGTTGTCTCATTGTGTGGGTTCTATACCTAAACATGCTATATAAAACGTTTTTTCGTTTCTGTCAACACTTTCCATTGTATCTCAAAAAACACGTTTACTCATTCTTTGTTGTCAAATGAAAAATTTTCCCTCAAAAATGGATCTACCCATTTTATGCGTCCATGTCTTAAATAACCCCTTGAACAACTTGCACCAATGAAACCAGACCTTAGAATTATTTCGGCGAAATAGGCAGATATAAAAATGCAGACTTAAACAAATTAAAAATATTTTGTTTAAAAAATCGGATACTATAAATACACATATGAGAACCAGATTTGAAAAACGAACAGGTGTGCAAAACTGTAAGAATCATAAAACACAACAAAGCATCGTTACCTATTGAATGAGACACACAAAGGGAAAAGAACGTCTCTTAGGTCAGGGCTGTCCAACTTAATGTGGGCCACTTCAAAAAAAAATGCAGTTTGGAAGGCCGCATTATAAAATCTTTCTATACAACATTATTACTGAGTCTTAATAGGTATATACTATACTATATGGTATAAAAAAATTGTTTTTCTATTATTTTTATGTATTCAAAAAATATGAAATTACAAAAAAATCAGTGGTACAATTGAGGATGTTGGTTTTCTAATACTAATGCATCAATATTAACATTAATATTTGTTGTTGATAAACGAAGTAACTGAGTAAGTGACTTATCAGAGAGGGAACATCTATACTTTGACTTGATAAATTTTGGAATAGACAAAAATCGGAGACAAGCTAAAACACGTTCACGCACAATAGTCGTCAAAAACTGACTGAACATTCTAAATGACCGGTATTATCAACATTAGTGAGGATAATGCGAAAATTCAAAATTTGCGATACTTTTTGTACCAACCTCGTATTGTCATCATTGGCGAAGTAGGAAGCTTGTGTAACAGTTTCGTCCAAATCTGAGCAGTACTCCAAGTTATAGGCGGTCTAAGAATTAGCGGACAGACCGAGAGACAGATAGACGGACGGCAATGAGTGACATGGTTTTTCGTGATGTACGAGCCCCTTCAGTTGGCCCACTTCAAGATTTGTACCAAAGTATGCCTTTATAAACTAAACATGACGAAACTATTTACTTCTAAAAATAATTAATTTTCTTAAAAACATTTTAGGTACACTCTAGTCGTAAGTAAAAAATCACTTAGACCTATAACTAGAATAGACCATCTGAACAAATAAACAATGTGCGAATAAACGCGCGAAGTTAACAAAGCAACAATTGAAAGATTATTATTGGGTAACATCACCTTTATTTTTTATTACGGCTGAAATTCTTTGGGGCATGGTGTTAACAAAGTTTTGGCAAAAATTTAGTGTAAAACAATCCCATATTTCTTGAAGCTTTTGTCTCAGTTCGGTGATTGTACGAGCAGGATGTTGTCGTAGAACCTTTTTCACCTCGTGCCACAAAGTTTCAATAGGTGACAGATCTGGACTGCTAGAAACCCGTTTCAAAAGTGGTACATTATTTTCTTCCATCCATTTTATAACCTTTTTTGAGGTATGCCACGCTGCACCATCTTGCTGAAACACAAAATCTTGGCCGGATATCAAACATTCTTCCATCAGTGGTAAAAGCGATTCTTCTAAAATTCCCAAATATTTATTTGTATCCTCATTACAATCAATAAAATGAAGTTTTCCTACTCCTTTTGATGACATACTGCCCCAGACCATAATGGATGCTGGAAATTTCACTTCAGACAGTCAACATGGAATGCTTCATTTTTTTGCGAATAACTCTAATGCGAATGTCACCAACACAAACTTTGAATCGGGCCTCATCACTCCACTGTATTGCACGTCAGTTAATAGTAGTAGTAGAACAACATCGATTTTAACTCACTTGGTAACCCATCCATCAGGTTCTGTCCTGTTTGCCCTCTATTTGACCTTGGGTATCTGAAGACTTTGCAGACATGCAAGAAGTGTATCGCCAATGACCAGAGGGTGAGATGTGCCAAAACGTGACGTGATGAAAAAGAAAAGATCTGAGTAATCGGCATTTGGCTGATAAGGTGCTGGCAAAACAAGCAATGAATGGGTTTCGTGCAAGTGATTCGTCTTGGAAGGAGAAGGTCGCCGCATTAGCTCCCATATTATTATTAGTGACTAGAGGATGATTGAAATTAGGCTTGGCTAGGCGAGGCTTGTCTCTTGCATATGCATAAAGCTTTTCTCAATCACTACGCATTTTGTGGGTCACGTGGTATTTAGGCCTTTTTTTCTGCATACATGACGTCACGTTTTGGCACATCTCACCCTCTGGTCATTGGCGATACACTTCTTGCATGTCTGCAAAGTCTTCAGATACCCAAGGTCAAATAGAGAGCAAACATAGCAGAACCTGATGGAAGGGTTACCAAGTGAGTTAGAATCGATATTGTTCTACTACTATTAGTGGCTTTTCTTTGGCTTATAAACAAGTTGTGCAACTTTAGGGTTTTTACTTCACCTTTTTTTATACGAAAACTTACCTTGCAAGTGCTAAATCCCAGTTTGTGGGCCTCGCTATGAGTGGTGGACCTCGAAATTCTCCTCCCAACAGCGTCACTCCACAGAGCACTTAATTGTAAATAATTAGCACGCCTGTTTTTCACGATTATTCTTCTTAATGCTCTTCGGTCGGCATTTGTGATATTCCTCTTTTCACATATCGTGGCTTAATATTAACTGAACCAGTTACGTTACATCTTCTAACAATATTTCTCGCACTGTACCGCGATAAGTCTAACAAAGTTGCAATCTCTGAGTTTGATTTCCCAGAATTAAAAAATTTAATTATCAGTAACCGAATTTTCTCACTAATAACCTTTCCTCTACCCATTTTGAAAACCTTAACTACCCAAAACCATTTTAAACCTATTCTGACAACTGTGATTAATAAAAAAAATTGTCATGGCTTTTATTTTTTACAGCAACCTATGCGCTATAGAATTATTTTGCATTGAAATGAAAATAGGTTGATATGCTGTAATTGCAACATGTGTTATTTTTATGCTGCAAATTTGATTAGGGAGTGATAAAGTAGGTGTTTTCTACTATATACAGGGTGTCCGCAAAGTTGGGGTTTTCCTTTTCAGAAACAACTAACCTTGAAATAACAAAGGTAATGTGTAGTGAAACGAGGGCGACCAAGTAAAAAAAAATAAAGGAAAAAGTACTCACTCTCCAGTTGACGAGAAGGGCTAAGTACGTCTCTGCCCGAAATCATACCGCTCCATCAGAAAATGAAATCAGCTGAAGCGCTACCGAGCAGACGCAGAAACCACATTGATTGTCTTACACTTTATGGCACATCTTCTAACAAGGAAGGCAAATTGTTGCGTGAAAAGTCTAGGTATTGCATCCCGTCCAATCGATTTGGGAGAATAAATGGTCCAATGAGCATACCGTTCACCATGCCAGCCCAAACATTCACCGAAAATGTTTGTTGAAAATGACCAAACATGAGTGTTGCGAAAGTTATTCACCCCATTACGCGTGAACGTAGATTCGTCTGTCACCAATATGCACTTCAAAAAGTCTGGATTATTGTTATGTTGATGCAACAACCACTCACAAAACCGCACACTTGCTGGAAAATCGTCAGGTTGAAGGGCTTGTACACGTTGGACGTGAAACGGATACAGCCCCTCTTCACGCTGCGTTTGCCACACTTTAGTTTTTGATACTTGCACTTCTCTAGCCATGTCTCTAGTGCTTTTTGTTTTTTGAAACGCAATCGATTATATGAGTTCGTTTACCTCTACACGCGTGACTGTAACCGTCGGTTGAAGGTTGCATACTAACCTGACACACTGACCCCAACCCAGTTCTGCCGTCGGGTTGAGACCTTGTACCAGTTGGGGATATCCGGCGGGTCGCGGCTACAGGACGGTATTCAGATATGTTTGATGTTGCAGAGCCCTTTATCTCGGTGCCCTTAAGACATTGGTGTATATGGTACTAAAAAAAATTGCGTATGTTTTCAAGATCTACACGTCGTGTAAAGGAAAACCCCAACTTTGCGGACACCCTGTATTATCAAAATATTCATTGTTAATATTTTAATCCTATAACAACCTGCTACATTTTTATTATTTGTGTTTGATAAGAGAAAAACTAAGATTTCAATAGTTGGGCCAACTGAAGTGGGAAGGGGCTCGTACATGTCATACAGCATTCAAAAAACATAATACCTCAGTTTCGAAATTTTACGTGGAAACAACATTTCCTCGCCAGTATGGCATTGGAAGTAAAGGACCTATAAGTAAGTATTGTGCATCGATGAAACTAAACCGTTTTTGTTTTATCACTTTTTCTATTTCTCCTCGAAAATAGAGTACGGTACGAAAAGATTCCTTAAGACAAATACACCAAATGTTTGGAATCGAGGATACTTTTTCTTGTAAAGAAAACATTCAAAACTGGCACATCTTGCTACGGCATGAATTTCTTCTTGCAAGAGGTGAAACGTATTTACAGGGTGTCATCAATATAGGAAAGCTGCAGAGATGCTTCGTCTTCTGCTACGTTACATTTAACACATTAATGGTACCGACCTACGCAATATTTAGAGGCAAAGACAGATATTTACCTTACAATTGGTGGAGTCCATGCGAGTTGAATGTTAGCCTGTACTTCTACGGATCAATAATCTACCAGGTACAGTAATAACTATCAAGCAAATGAGACTTTCATGCTACGGGATTATCAAACCCAGTGATATAATTTCTGTTTCCTCAAGTTGCACCTATCGTGACGTGAAGTGATGTAATCAAAGTCATTATGCGTAGACTTCGTCGACTACTAAAGAATCCTTTTAGTTGGTGGTCGTAATGATAAGTGGAATGAACAACTCTGGAATTGACATCGTGTGTTACAAGATTTCTAAGATAATTTGCTGCCAAATGGACTTGCTCATAGGGAGGTCCACTCAGCTGAATTTCCTGGGACAAAATAACGTCGAACCACTATTGAATGATTTGATAAAGCATCACTACGAAATTATACGGTAAGGACTTTAGTAGATTATAGGTTTGTTAATACAGTAGTCGGTGACTTGTCAGTGACTGTGTCTGGGATCCGGGCGGGTGGATTATGTCTATACTAAGTGACATATAAATCCGAACACCCAGTTTAAATGGTTTTATTTTAATAAAATTTTGTATAAGTACTTAATGAAGCATAATAAGTAAATGATAAGAATTTCAAAATGATTGCACTGCTTTAAAGCCCTTTGACCTTTAATAATGTGTGGATGTACCCTGATGTGCTACGCATTCTCCAACGCGCCTAGGCTTGCTTCTGATCAGGTGGTCAATGTCCTCCTGTGGTATCTCATTCCAGGCAACCACCAACTCCTCTCGAAGTGCTTCTAGAGTCTGAGGAGGACGCTGCAAATTGAGCAATCTCCTACCCATCGTATCCCACACGTGCTCAATTGGAGATAAGTTGGGAGATCTTGGTGGCCATGGTAACAATGTGACATCATTATGTTGAAAGAAGTCTGTTGTGACTCTTGCAACATGTGGTCGGGCATTATCTTGTTGGAAAGCTGGATCTGCCAGGGTGTCAAGATAGGGTAAAAGATGGGGTTCTAGAACTTCGTGGATATAACGCTGCGCGTTCATGTTACCTCTGATGAAGATTAAAGGTGACCTGGAACCATAAGCTAAAACACCCCAAACCATAACTCCAACAGTGTGATGAACATGTCTTTCAACAAAAAACTGTGGATTCCTCCTTTCACCACGTCGCCTTCTAACCCTGGCACGACCATCGTGCATGCCTAAACAAAATCGAGACTCGTCACTAAAGACAATACTGTTCCATTCCTGATCCCAGAGTGACCGTTGTCTGCACCACTCAAGGCGATTACGTCGGTGTTCTCGAGTTAAAGGGAGGACCCAGTGTGGCCGGTATGAAAACAAGCCAAAACTTTTCATTCGTCGGTAAACACTTCGCATGCCAATAGGCCTTCCGTGTTCTGCAAACCATTCATTTGCAATGGACCTGGTAGTGGAGAAACGGTCCCTTAAGGCCAATAATCTTAGGCGGCGATCTTCACGGTCTGTTGTTCTACGGCGGCGTCCAGTGCCCCTTGCTCTTTGCGTGCGGCCTTCTCGAAGCCATGCCTGACAACACCTAACCACAGTGTCTACACTTCTTTGCACTCTAACTGCAATTGCCCGAAAAGAAAGTCCAGCTTCCCGAAGTCCCACTATACGGCCCCTATCAAACTCACTAAGTTGACGAAATCGTACAGGTCTCCGTACTCTAGGCATCGTAACCGATCGTAAAGGATGTCAAGAACCAAAATCCGCTGCGGCTGAAATATTCATTTTTAGAGCGTTAGTGAATTAAAGAAAAACAGTATAAAAACCGGAATGTCCAACTGATAAGGCTGAAAAGTTTTTCACTTGTTATTTACAGTAAGATAAATACATTCACCAACTTTTATTAAGATAAAACCATTTAAACTGGGTGTTCGGATTTATATGTCACTTAGTATATATAGCGTAGGAGAGTGTTTGGAATTTGTGTTCCGAGATCTTGAATACGTTATCTCCTATTGGGCTCCCTAAACTGTGTGTTTTATCTTAATTGTGTTAAATTTTTCCAGATTAGTCGAAATACTCAATGATCTCTTCTCACCGATAGCTTTAGTACAGTGTGGAACAAGTGGGCTCGCTATATGCTTTGTAGGATTTCAACTTATGGTGACAGTAAGTAGTTGTGCAATTGCCATTCAAGCTCGAGCCAGGGACATTTCGCGTAAAGCGAACAGCGGAAGAAGTGTCCTCTGGATTTTGTTCATAGTAGACTTAATTGGACATGTGTTGGACCTGAATAAGTGATCATTATGTTTGTTTTTTCTATACTAGATGACAATTTATGCGACTTCAAAGAATGTACAGTAAGCCGGAAGTCAGTACTAAGAATCAGATTTTTTCCAAGTTCGCGTTTTTTGTATTTTTAATTTTTACGTCAAAATATAGCTTGTATATAGACCTACGACTTAGCCTAACCACTTTCTTACGTTATTAATTGGTGTTTCCAATCTGGAATTTGTCCTGATGCATTTAAAACAACTGTTATTACTCCTGTTTATAAAAGCGGTGACAGAATGGAAACATCAAATTATAGACCCATATCAGTACTATCGAATATAGCCAAAATTTTCGAAAAATTACTACAAAAAAGGATATTACAATTTTTGGACAAAAACAAAATTATATGTTCTGACCAATATGGATTTAGAAAAGGAAAATCTACTACAGATGCAATTTTGGCTGCAATAGATGAAATTAACTCTAATGTCAACAAAAAGATACCTACTGTTGGTATCTTTGTTGATCTAAAAAATGCCTTTGATACGGTTAACCATGTCGAGCTTCTGAAAGTTATGGAAAGATTGGGATTTAGGGGAGCGTCACAAATCCTTTTAAAAAATTACCTTTCAAGTCGGGCACAGACTGTCAAAATCACTAACACTTACAGTAAAAAAATGTACATCAAGTGTGGTGTGCCTCAAGGAACAGTACTAGGCCCACTACTATTTAGTCTCTACTTAAATGACTTATTCAAAATTAACAGTTCTGGAAAGGATATATGTTTTGCAGATGACACCCTCGTATTATATAAAGCTGATGACCGGAGCACACTGAAGCAAATAGCTGAACAGGATTTTATAAGGATCATTGACTGGTTTGATACTAAAATTTTAACAGTTAACTTCAAAAAAACAAAATTTATTGCATTTACATCCTATTCAAAATTTTTACCTATCTTCGAACAAATTTCCGTTAATTATCATGGCCAAAAGACCAAAATCGATAGAGTTAACACTTTGAAATATCTTGGAATATTTATAGACTCACATCTAAGGTGGGATAACCATAATAAATATGTTATCAAAAAGATTAGAAATGTTGCCTATAAACTCAAAATGCTTACTAACATTCTTACAGAAAGTTATCTGCGAATCCTATATCATGCCTTAGTTGAAACCCATATAATATACGGCATCACAGCCTGGGGTGCCGCCTGCAAGACATATATTTCTGACCTGAATATAGCACAAAAAACTGTTTTGAAAGCCATTTTCCATAAGCCAAGATTATATCCAACGAACAACTTATATCAAGAAACAGGGATACTTGATACAAGACAACTTTATTTCTTACATGCCACCACCCTATACCATAAGTATTGTAATAAAAAGAAGAAATCCTATAAACACGAGCATACCACACGATTTCGAATAGGCTCATCTAATATCCAAAGACCACACAAAACATTATTCAAAAAATCATTTAAATTCTTAGCAGCTAAATTATATAATGTAGTACCAAACGAAATAAAGATACTTAATTTTGGAAAAAAATTTAGAAGAAAATTGAAGTAATGTTAGTAATGTGCAGCGAATGACTATACATAATTATATAGAAAACTAAAACTACAAAATTCCAATTACATTAATACCTTTCAGATTTAACAATAATTGCTATACACATATATGATTGATTGTTAGTTATTAAGATATAAACCACACACAGGCGATGCCTTCTGTGGGTTTTTCATATTTATTTGCCCATTTTTTGTATTTTGGCGAATAAATATTATTATTATTATTATATTATTATTTTATGTTGGAGAAATTAGAATAGCATCTCGATTAGTTTAGAAGATACGAACCCCTTCCCACTTCACTTGGCCCAACTATTGAAATGTTTTTTTCTTATCAAACACGAATCATAAAAATGTAGCAGGGTGTTATAGGTTTAAAATATTAACAAAGAATATCTTGATAATATATAGTAGAAAACACCAACTTTATCACTCCCTAATCAAATTTGCAGCATAAAAATAACACGTGTTGCAATTACAGCATATCAACCTATTTTCATTTCAATGCAAAATAAGTCTATAACGCATAGGTGGCTGTGAAAAATAAAAGCCATGACAATTGTTTTTATTAACCACAGCTGTCAGAATACGTTTAAAATAGTTTTGGGTAGTTAAGGTTCTCAAAATGGGTAGAGGAAAGGTTATTAGCGAGAAAATTCGGTTACTGATAATTAAATTTTTTAATTCTGGGTAATCAAACTCAGAAATTGCAACTTTGTTAGACTTATCGCGGTACGGTGTGAGAAATATTGTTAGAAGATACAACGTAACTGGGCCAGTTAATATTAAGCCACGATATGTGAAAAAAGTAATATCACAAATGTCGACCGAAGAGCATTAAGAAGAATAATCGTGAAATACAGGCGTGCCAATTATTTACAATTAAGTGCTCTGTGGAGTGACGCTGTTGGAAGGAGAATTTCGAGGTCCACAATTGGTAGAGAGGCCCACAACCTGGGATTTAGTACTTGCAAGGGAGGTTTTCTTATAAAAAAAGTGAAGTAAAAACCCTAAAGTTGCACAACTTGTTTATAGGCCAAACAAAAGCCACTATTAACTCCACTGCAAAAGAAAAATCGGCTTAGATGGGCTATAGACAATGGACACCTCAACAATGGTGTGCAATACAATGGAGTGATGAGGCCCGATTCGAAGTTTGTGTTGGTGACAGTCGCAGTAGAGTTATTCGCAAAAAAATGAAGCATTCCATGTTGACTGTCTGAAGAGAAAAGTGAAATTTCCAGCATCCATTATGGTCTGGGGCAGTACGTCATCAAAAGGAGTAGGAAAACTTCATTTTATTGATGGAAATGTGGATACAAACTAATATTTGGCAATAGGCTATAAAATGGATGGAAGAAAATAATGTACCACTGTTGAAATGGGTTTCTAGCAGTCCAGATCTGTCACCTATTGAAACTTTGTGGCACGAGGTGAAAAAGGTTCTACGACAACATCCTGCTCGTACAATCACCGAACTGAGACAAAAGCTTCGAGAAATATGAGATTGTTTTACACCAACTTTTTGCCCCAAAGAATTTCAGCCGTAATAAAAAATAAAGGTGATGTTACCCAATGGTAATCTTTCAATTGTTGCTTTGTTAACTTCGCGCATTTATTCGCACATTGTTTATTTGTTCATATACATATTTTATTAGTTATAGGTCTAAGTGATTTCAAATATGTATTTTTTACGACTAGAGTGTATCTAAAATGTTTTAGAGGAAATAAATTGTTTTAGAAGTAAATAGTTTCGTCATATTTAGTTTATAAAGGCATATTTTGGGACAAATCTTGAAGTGGGCCAACTGAAGTGGGAAGGGGCTCGTATATGAACTAAAGTACAAAGGAGTCGCTTGGCGCGCTGCACTGGGTGGTGTCCTAGTTTCATTTTTTAAATTCCTTACAACTGATAAAATATGATAAAATGAACATAACTTAAATCAAAACTTAATTTAGTTGATTATGTTTATTATATATTACCAGTATCAATTGAATAAATTGAAGTTTATTTTAATCTTATATCGGCAGGTTAAATAAAATAACGAAGTAGAAAGTTGGTATAATTATTTTGCAATCTTAACTACTTTGCAGTCGTGGTATACTAGTTCGATTTACAATTATGCTCTTGGACGTTGGAACACTAGTAAACTGCAGTTTGCAGTCTATTTGCATTGAATTTTATAGATATATATATATTATCAAAAAGAAATTTTAGCAATGAAGGTGAAATTCATTTTCAGGCCAGTTAACATGAAAAGGACGCATGGGAGAGCCTTGGCGGGTACCTCAAAAGACTAGAACACGCATAAGCCTCCAACTGCCTGCAAACAAAGCGATAACCACCCATATACTATACTAAGTGACATATAAATTCGAACACCCAGTTTAAAAGGTTTTATTTTAATAAAATTTTGTATAAATACTTAATGAAGCATAATAAGTAAATGATAAAAATTTCAAAATGATTGCACTGCTTTAAAGCCCTTTGACCTTTAATAATCTGTGGATGCACCCGGATGTGCTACGCATTCTCCAACGCGCCTAGGCATGCTTCTGATCAGGTGGTCAATGTCCTCCTGTGGTATGTCATTCCAGGCAACCACCAACTCCTCTCGAAGTGCTTCTAGAGTCTGAGGAGGACGTTGCAAATTGAGCAATCTCCTACCCATCATATCCCACACGTGCTCAATTGGGGATAAGTCGGGAGATCTTGGTGGTCATGGTAACAATGTGACATCATTATGTTGAAAGAAGTCTATTGTGACTCTTGCAACATGTGGTCGGGCATTATCTTGTTGGAAAGTTGGATCTGCCAGGGTGTCAAGATAGGGTAAAAGATGGGGTTCTAGAACTTCGTGGATATAACGCTGCGCATTCATGTTACCTCTGATGAAGATTAAAGGTGACCTGGAACCATAAGCTATAGCACCCCAAACCATAACTCCAACAGTGTGATGAACATGTCTTTCAACAAAAAACAGTGGATTCCTCCTTTCACCAAGTCGCCTTCTAACCCTGGCACGACCATCGTGCATGCCTAAACAAAATCGAGACTCGTCACTAAAGACAATACTGATCCATTCCTGATCCCAGAGTGACCGTTGTCTGCACCACTCAAGGCGATTACGTCGGTGTTCTCGAGTTAAAGGGAGGACCCAGTGTGGCCGGTATGAAAACAAGTCAAAACTTCTCATTCGTCGGTAAACACTTCGCATGCCAATAGGTCTTCCCTGTTCTGCAAACCATTCATTTGCAATGGACCTGGTAGTGAAGAAACGGTCCCTTGAGGCCAATAATCTTAGGTGGCGATCTT